AGCTGGCTATTTAGCCTGGCTAGGTTGCCTTGTCTTCGCCGTCATCCTATGAAGCTACACAAGCCACGTTCTGACCGGATCAGGGCGGAAACTCGGTTATCTCGTCGAATTATCGAGCTCTGGAACTAGTTTCCAAAAATTATAGTCAGTGAACCTACGGTTAAGGGTTTCGAGCGTCATTTAGACGATCTTGGGTGGCAACGCGAAACCTTTCCCTTCTCCTGACCATATCCATCTCCAAACTTTTAGTTCTTATTCTGTCATTCTCTTCACTCTTTGGTGTTGTCCTTCATTTAAATGACTTTCATTCCCCTTTATCTTCCATTCACTTTCTACTTCTTTCCTAGTTCACGTAACCTACACAGCGGGGACTGCTAGTGCAGGGAACGTGGGCAGTAATTGGTTGACCACGGTGTATTTCAGCTGTTTCGTTTTAGATCTATCAAGGCCTAGCACCTTGTCATTTCCTGGCTCAAGATTTTCTCAAGAAGGAACACTCGAGGGATTTTCCTATCGTTCCAGTCCATCTGAATCTGAATCGTTGGCCTTCCAAGGTCACCGCCATTAAACTCCTTGTGTTTTCGTTCTGACAAAGGTTGATTTTGTTCTTTTTCTTGTGATTCAGACGGGCATTGAGGTGCGCAAAATATTCGGAATCTGCTGGTCTATCGATCATCATGATGTTCAAGTGTCTAGATTGTTGTATAGGTGTCATTACCCGTTCAAAGGCTGTTCAATGTTCTTTCTGAGACGGCTGGTTGCATATCACTTGTTGTGGTATTTCAGCAAATTTTTATCAGTGTCTTCGGCTGTATACAGCATCCTCTGTTGGTATCTTTTGTCTCTTGTCAACACCCAGCGTGCTCAGACTGGTTTACCTGTTTTTAGCCCGCTCCGCTGGTGGTCACTTCGATCCCTAACTTACCATTTCCCGAAATTCGCCTTCTTCCTTTCTTTGTGCCCTGCTGATTTTGTCACCTGTTTTTCAACAAACTTCTGTCCCCCTCTCGGAGTCACAAATGTCTAGTGAGCAGCCCAGTAAGCCCCCGCTCACGATGTTTGCGACCGTCGTCAAAGGGAACACGGCGGCTGCTCCCGCAAGCCGGATTCCTGTTGTGCATAAATATAAGCCTATAGCCAAGTCTGTATAAGACAAAGCGTCACCTGTAAAGCGCGGGCTGAAATCGTCTCTTCATCGGATCGACTATTTGGAGAAACTGCTAGATGACAAGCCGCCTTCTAAGCCACCGATCTCCGAGACCGCCAGAGTAGCTAGCCGGGAACGTCTCATCATAATTAACTTCCCGGAGTCGGATAAGAAAACAGTAGCAGAAGGAATTTCGGAGGATCAATTATTTCTAAAACATATGATCCCCCTACTGTTCGATGAGGGAGAACCGGGGATTAATATCGTCTCTGCTTTTCGACTTGGCAGAAAACATGAAAATTCTTTCACAGTGCGTCCCCTTAAGGTTGTATGCCAAGGGAGATGAATGCCCTCGGACCCTTCGACGGACTTCGCGCCTCAATGGGAGCCGGTACACGTGTTGCGAGATCTATCCCCGGAGGACCGCGTTAAAATGAAGATTGCAGTCGATGAATTGAGAACCCGCCGTGCGAACGGTGAAACCGCTTTGCGTATTGAGGATTTTCGCGTGCTTCGGAAAATGCAGAGAACGCGCTGGAAGCCAGTTTTTGTCCTTCCAGAACATTAGATCAACAACTGCATTGCACGTACTTTCTGCACATTGCGTCAGTACTCCTCCCGGACCTTATGGCGTTTACGGAGACATGGTTTTCCCCAGAAATCCCAAATCCTAAATACATATTCCTGCTTACAGTCTCTCACGAGCCGGTCGCATTGGTTTGAGGTCGGAGGGCGGCGTCACACTCTACTAGAAGGCGAAACTGAAGATCCATGTAGTTGATGTTGTCTTGGAAAGTGATGACTGCTCCGAAGTGCTTTGGTGTCGTATTCATGAGGAATGTAGATCCCTTCTTCTCGGTGTCTTCTACAGAGCTCCCCTGAGTTTTGGCGATCGTTTTCTGGCCGCTCTAAAGAAACATGGTGGAAATAAGGATTGTTTATTAGTGGGGGATTTTAAGGCCCCTAATGTTGATTGGAATCTTCTTCCCTGTGATGCTGTACCTGCCTCCTTCGCTTCTAGGATTTTGGAAGCTGTTCTTGAAAGTAATTTAAATCAACATGTCGCGGAACCTACTCGCATTATCCCTGGTCAGACGCAGCACATACTCGATCTTGTGCTTTCACCTGCACAATCGGATGTTTCTGAGTTGAATGTTTTACCACCATTCGGGAGGAGTGACCAGTGCCTACTTTCCTTTCACTGGACAACACGGTTGAGCTTTCACAACCACTGTCTATCGTCAGAATTTCTGGTGTGCTGGTCCAAACATCTTGAAGATGACCGCTAGCGAGCAGGATTGTAGTCTTCCCCTGCACTTAGACGTCGATGATGCTTGGAGCCTTGTTTACCCGAAAATGTTGTTCTTTATTAAATAAATAAATAGGTATATTTCTAGACCTGCTAGAGGCTGCACTCTAAATGGTTCAGATCAATGCTTACATAAATCCGATGCTCTTGCATGGAAGTAGGTAAAATATAAGTATATGTTCATCGCCAGCAATTACAAATGCATTGGCATTGTTTGATATACAGCTACTGGGTCACAGGCGCCCACCTTGACATGTTTCTGGTTCCTGCGGGTGATATTGAACTCCTTGTTCTTTTGTGAAAATTTCGCGGAGGTGTAGTTGTGCCTTTTCTCCTTGGAACAGAATCCAATTCGCCGAAAGTGCACTTTATATTGATCGCACATTAATTGGCCATTCAGTTGCCCCAATTGTGCGCACATGGAAGAAATGAGTGAAGGGATTGTAAGGCATACGAAAAGTTGAAAACAATTCCGATAAATGCGGACAAAAATAGAAACAATATGATAAGAGAGAAAATAAAGCTGCGTGCTTCAGTAGAAAAATACTAATTAACAAAAAAATACAGTCCTACTTTTCTTACGCTGATATTGCTCTCCGGCGCAAAATTTCAATCTGAGTTATTCTCAGATATAAGAAAAAGCTTTTCTACAGTTAGAATACCACTTAAAGTGGCACAATTACACTGGTCTGGACCAGCTTTAGCGCCTGAATACGTTGAACGTAAAAGCAACACATCAAGTGCAGTAGTTTGCGAGTTATTCGCAATTAAATGATAGTATACGAATAAGGCCATTTTTATTTTTCGCTAAAAATGGCTTTCTGCTTTGCTAGCAGATAGCAGAAAAAAGAAAAGAAAATATAAAAAGTAGGGAAGCGGCGTATGTTCTAGATAGGCGTAGCTATCCAGAAATGCTCTAATTAGCCCGTAATACACTGCGACAACTGCGGACTGAGCAGGTGGCCGAAAAGTAAACTTTGCAGGCATACATGACAAATATATGAAGATAAGGGATGATCTTGCGCGAAAACGCTAGAAATCCAGCAAGGAATATTATATCTACATGGGAATTCAGGGGAGCTTGTAATTAACTCACGGTTAGAAGGCCACAGCATACCATTTTCAGTGGATACTGAGCCACATAAACAACCAGTAAAATAGAGTTTAGCATTTTTTAAGCCTCTAGCTTTTCTAAAGCTTACAACAAGCCCGCATGAGCCAGGTCTACCTGAGTAACCCTGGGGATCTTTCAGATCCGTTAACAGATTTCGGCCTACAAAATACACGCATTACTTAGCTAAACATCACAAGATTTATCCCTTAGAGCCGATTTTCTATATTCATGTGGCTCTGTCTCTAACGTCAGTGAGCTATAGGAGCCTGCCACCAATAATAAAGAAATAAGCATGGGAAAATTTAGTAAAATTTAGCTAATTGCATTTGGGCGTGAAATCCGTTTTGGTCTACATTGGTTGGGCTTTAACAACTCTACTTCTGGTGGTTGAGCTTGCTCATACTTGAGGTATTGTTATGCCTCATGTGTAGATGCACACTATTGTGCAGCTCTTTGATGAATTTCGCTTTATTTCTCTCCATTTTTAAGTTCCGAAGATAGTGCCGGCGGTGTTCATCCAGTTGGCAATGTTAACTGGTACTCTAATGTCACACCGACTATTTCTTTGTGATTTTCCTGGCAAGAGCTGTTCTAGCACCCTAAGCAAAGAGCGATAATGTAAACCAGA